ATGACTTTATAATTGATTTTTTCTGTATTGTGCATTGTCTTGAAGATAAGAGTGTTAACTTTAAATTTTACATCTAAGTGTGCTGCAAACAGTCTTATCTTGTAGCACTTAGTCATTTTATTGTAACTATACTTCACGTAAACTGCAGCTCTCTGCATTTATCAGTTACCTGGATGTACATTACTATGCATCTTGTATAAAGAGCAGTCAGTCAATACATTTGGCATTAAGTTAAACAGAATGTAATGTGTACATCTGACTTTTAAAGTTGACAGTATCCTTATTTGTATCTTCCATTTTTTTTTTTTTTTGAAATGACCTATACAAGCAATATAAATATAAATCTTAATTCCATTTCTCTATACCAATGAATAACTGTGGTGATATGTGAAGTATGATAGCAAACGTGGACTATAGTACAGGTACACCACTATATTTTCAGTATCCTTAGTTCTAAAAGCCTTACAAGATTAAACATTTAGCTGAACCAGCTCTGGTCATGAGTAATAATAATTCAACATACCTCTAACCCATGTGTCTAAAGTTTATCATGGACTGCTAGAAACCTAAATTAAATAAATATTAAATGTAAATTGCATTTTGCCACAAATGACAATTTCCACTCTTAGAAGCTATATCTATGGTAAATTTAAGCAAAATAAACTAAGAATATCACCATCAATAAGTGCATTATAATTCTCTCTAGTTGAACATAAACCTTCTAACTCCCTAGTATTACTCTTTTTGGCAAATGTTTTCGACCCTACCAGGGTCTTCTTCAGGCTACCGTTTTAATAAATTCAAATATTGCAAAATCGAACAGTAATGGATTAAATGCGATTCAAATCCTAGAATGTCAACGTTCATATCAAAAATATAGAACACCATGTTCTTTCCTCGATGACGTTAAAGCTTGCATAAATTGCACTTGTAATAAACAACATTACACTCAATTATGTGTGGGGTGTTTCTTCATAGCAAAATTTCCATGCTTTAGAGATATTAACTGCATCTTTGGAGTTAATACATGTGTTGTTTAATCCTGCTTTATAAATCTCTAAGGTCTCCATAATTCTTAGTTGGTCCGTACGTTGTGATAGTCTTACCATACGGGCATTCTGTAGATCCACCCTTATTCCAGGTTCTGTGGCCACGGTTGAAAGGGTGGTGGTGTGTTTATTATTATCTATATCATATTTATGCTTCTGGAGACATTTGTGAAGGGAGCGTTTGGTTGATCTCACATATACCAACAAGTGCATTATAAATATTGTAAATAAGTGGGTACTACACAATGCTATCTGTGGCTGTCTAGTAAACAAGTCTGGTGGCAATGGGAATTTAAAGTTTCCTCTTATAATTTTGTTTAGATTAAAGAGAATGCTGAACCATCAATTGCCAGAAATTTGGTTGTATACTTGAACAAACATGTTCAGTACAGCAGTGATGATAGCAGATTATACAGTTATTCAGGATGATCAAAGTTGTCTTTGAATTATCAGGTTGTGAAGAATTTCCATTATGTTAACACATTTATCTTACAATACGCAAAAGAAAAAAAAGAAAAAAGGAAATTATTCTATTAAAATTACTTAGTTGAAAATACATTAACAGTACTTTCAGTTTGATTGATTGTGAATTATGATAATGATATAGTTGATAACTTTTGTGTGTAGAAAACTGGGATCACACATTAATGTGTAATCCCAGTTTTCCATTAATCTTTATGACAACTGCCTAGATCACACATTAATGTGGAGATCAAATTATACCAGACTTTCTCCAGTATATTTTCATCAGTTTGAACAATTGCTTCTCTGATATATCCTTGCAAGTTTGACATTTAATTTAATGGACATAATATCAAAATTTTCACAGAATATCAGGAAAAAAGTTCAGTGGCCAGTGAAGAAAAGTTTTGACGTAATTTTGACTAATCCTGTTTTATTTTTAGATTTAAAAGGCTTTAAAAATAAACCTGGCTAATTAAATATGTAGATATTAAGTACAGTAATTTCCCTCAATCTATTGGTCTTTGGAAATTGCAAATTTAAGCAAAACAATGTGTAATGAAACTACAGTAGAGCGTCGATTATCCGAATCAATTGGGGACGGGTTGTTCAGAAGATCGATGTTTCGGATAACCGATTATGTACGAAAAAATATATTAATTTATCCCACCTTGACATTTTTCTCTGTAGCATGTCGCTTTGCGTTGAATTTTCGTCGATGTTAAGCCTAACGAAGACTATTGTATCGCTAAAAATTATTTTTTTATTTTGTACAAACAAAATAAATATATTGAAAAATATAAAAACAATAAAAAATTATACTTCAGAAGTTAATTTAGTATATAAAACGTAAAATGTTTGAGTAGTCCAACACATAGCCAAAGATTGCAGCACCACAGCACTGGCAAAAATTTAAATTTGCTGACTGGAATTTTTTCAGATGATTGACTTTTGGATAATCGACACTCTACTGTATACTATAGGCTAATTGATATAAAAAGAGTTAAATTTCTACAGTGTACTTCTGTTGACAGAAACATTGTAACCAGAAGTTTGCCTCAAGAATTTAAAAATTATTGTTGTATGCTACAATATATAATAATTAGTCTTTTTTGCTATCCTAAATTTTTCAATCACAGATAATTTGTCTTTTTGCCCTGTTTGTGTCAATTAGAATTTAAAATCTTATTATTTCTTCAAGCTGAAACTGTTGTAGAAATTGATATACACTGACCTTTCATTCATTTCCGGCAATGCTATCAATATATGTATATTTGGCTAAACATCTTTGCTAGAGGCTTGATGCTGGCCACTGAAAGAAGCTGAAAACATTTGCTTTGCATGTATATCAACAGTTGGAAATGAGGAAAGATCAGTGTATTATCTCTCTCCTTCTCAGCAATATTAATTATAATAAGAACACACCTGAATTCCATTTGTTGAGTTTTTCTTTTTATTTCAAACGTTTCCAGCCTATTTGGATAGGCAATCCTCAGGTTTTCATTCATCGTTCCAAAATGGAACCATTCATTCGAATTTTATTTTGATTCAAATTTTTGAATGTGTTAACAACCTTTTGTATATTACATAAATAAACAAAATAAATAAAATATGTCACTAAACGTGCTACATATTAGCAAAAATTAAATAACAAATTTACATGCATCTAAAATATAATAACTTATAATCTCCAGTTCCTATTTTGTGGATTATTGAAACCTAAACATTTTTCTATTTTGTATTTCCATGCTGTTGGTAATGTATTTGCATCCTTTGCATTTAGATGCATGTAAATTTGTTATTTAATTTTTGCTAATATGTAGCATGTTTAGTGACATATTTTATTTATTTTGTTTATTTATGTAATATACAAAAAATTGTTAACACATTTCAAAAATTCAAATCAAAATAAAATTCGAACGAATGGTTCCATGTTGGAACGATGAATGAAAACCTGAGGATGGCCTATCCAAATATGCTGAAAACATTTGAAATAAAGAGAAAAAACTCAGCAAATGGAATTCGGATGTGTTCTTATTATTATAAATGGTCAGTGTATTATCAATTAGAATTTTTGAGGATGTTACTTTGATTGGAATAGTGAATAACAAATATGTCAGATGTGCTGAGCACTTGTACCACATTGTTTATGATGATTATAAAAAATACATAACAATATACTGTGTGCATTTTTATTTTACAATAATTTGTTTGTTTGTTTACTTTTTTCCAATATATAGTGGTACCTCGGTATATGTCTGCTTTAGAATACGTCCTGTTTTGACGAAACAAATTTTGCTCGGTATACGACTTTTGTTCGGTATACGACATAATTCAATTATATGCGCCGTCAATGAACAAGTAGCACTATCAGTGTACAAGACCAGATTAGATGTTCGCAGTGCAACGGTTTATAACTTTGTTAAATTTCTTCTGATTTTAATTCGTAAGTAAAATTTTATTATTTTTATTAATCACAAATACCAAAAAGGCAAATGAAAAGTGACAGAAAACTAAAAAATTGACTAGAATTACAATGGAACTGATAAAAGAGATTGTTGAGAAATACGAAGGTGGCACGCGTGCTCGAGATTTTAACTGTTCCTACAGTATTCCGAGAACGACGATATGGACAATTGCAAAAAATAAAGACATTATTAAATCTGCTAACGTTGTGAAAGGGGTTAAATCAATTTCTAAACAGAGATCGAAGACATTAGATCATGTCGAGAAATTGCTTTTGCTTTGGATAACTGAAAAACAGTGCTGGAGACAGTGTATCAGAAGCAATTATTTACGAGAAAGCTAAAAAGATACACGCTGATCTCACGAAAAATCAAGCAGGAACTAGCCAGGAAAGCAAGGTGTTTAAAGCCAGCCATTTTTTTTTACATGAGAACGGATTAATCATTTTTACATTACTTCTTATGGGAAAGGTTGGTTTGGTATACATCCTATTCGGTATAAGTCCAAACATCGGGAACGGATTAAGGTCGTATACCGATGTTCCACTGTACTTATTTCAGATTAGGATTGCAGATGGGCAGAGCCATTTTGAAAGTTAGACAGAAGGCAGTCCTGAACAGGATGTTACAGGATGCACTCACACATTTACATTCACTCATACTAGAATAATTTAGACTTGCTACCTGATGTGCAGATCATTGGGATGCGAAACAAAATTTATATAGATACGAGGAATGTGTGCAAACTCTTCACATACAGCAACCCATGCAGGAATCTATTTTTCTCATCATTAATGTCAGAACATTATCAAATTACTTAATATCTATCATTTAATTAGCCTGATGAAACTGCATTACCACTCAGTTATTAATAAATTTTATATACAGAAAGTAATGTATATCAATAAAAACATTTTAGGCTTTAATTTTAATTCAGTGATGGAAATGTAATACTTCTGAAACATTTATTTTGTGTTTGAATTTAAACAAATTACTTTATACAGAGGAATGAATTCTATTACAGGAGAGGTATTAGTGACAAAAAACCCTTGCATGCATCCAGGTGATGTCCGCAAATTTCAGGCAGTTGATATTCCGGAATTAAGACATATTAAAGATTGTATAGTTTTCCCAGCAAAAGGAAAGCGACCACATCCTAATGAAATGGCAGGTAAAAAAAAGTAAAATTTATTTAAAAGATATTTTGTCAAAATAAATAATAAAAAGTTTATTTATGTAAATATGTATTATTAAAGGATCAGACCTGGATGGTGATGAGTATAGTGTAATATGGTTGGAAGATTTAATATTTGAGTGCAATAACCATCCGCCTATGGATTTTCCGAAAGCCACAGCAGAAGAATTGGATCATCCGGTACAGGTATGCAGTTCCTTTCCATTTTTTCGACGTTAAGTAAACAAATATTTTATTTTCTATTTTATGGATTAGCTTTCTTCTTTTCTTAATGTAATGATTTGTGAGAAAAATGAAAAATATTTCATATCTTACATTAATTAATTTTGATTTTCTTTTCTTTTTGTAAAATATTGGTAGATTTCCTGGTAAAGTTGTTTGAAATAATTTGGTTAAAAGACAGTTTAGTAATTAAACAAGTAAAACAGCAAGACTGTATTTGGGACAAGACTATGTCTCAGAGACTCACTACTAAGCGGAATCATTTTGACGCTCAAGGCGGGTCGCGTTCTTATTCTCCAATCTTCTTTGGTATCACTGGTTTTGAGCATGATCTTTCAAACTTCACTTGCCATGACTACAATGTTGTCCACAATGCATTTTCAGTGAAATTAATCTATCCAATTTCAAAATTTCTCAATGTTGCATATTGCCCCAGGTTGAGTTTTTGTCGATGCCTAATGAAAATTTCCCGTTTTTGACAAAATAAACCTGGCTATCGTATTGTCTGAAATTATTTTTTATTTTGCACAAACTATATATATATTAATAAATGTAGAAAACAAATTATATTTCAGTAGTTAGTTTTAATATAAAATTATAATGACATACTATCTAGTTTAAAAAATGTTGTGATGATGAAACGAGACATCTCCAGTCAATTGGTCAAGGTCAGCACGTGGTGACCAGAAATATGTGGGGAATAACATGGGACAGGTACNACCCCAGGTTGAATTTTTGTCGATGCCTAACAAAAATAATCCTGGCTATCGTCTGAAATTATTTTTTTATTTTGTACAAACACTATATATATGTAAGAAAAAAACAAATAATATTTTGGAAGTTAGTTTCCATATAAAATTATAACGACTAGTGCCATCTACTTTGAAAAAAGGTTCCGATGCTGAAACGAGATATTTTGGGTCAACCGATCAAGGTCAGCACATCGTGACCAGAGATATGTCGGGAATAACATGGGACAAGTATATGGGTTTTTTTTCCAAAGATTCGTTTGTCAAAATTTGATTTCTCATTTTGAACTTCCCAATGCATGCGTTTGTCAAAATTTGATTTTACAACGTTTGCATTTTCAACAAGCAACACATGCGCAAATCTTGCACTACTGCCTGTTTGTAGAGAGTGTTGCCATTTTGAATTTTATTTTGACTCAGTTCTCAGTCCCCTGAGTACCTACAAATCTGTTTTTTTATACACGCATGATTTGGGCACCTAATACTCTATGCCAAATGGCAACTCCTGACATGTACTCCTTCATACCTAGCAGGCAGTACTATTATAAACAAGATGTAGTCTTGTCAATAATCAATTGATGACCAGATGGTGGAATAATTTGTTGCCAGTCTAATGCTCTAAGGCAGTGTTTTCCAACCTTCTTGAATACGCGACTCCTTTACAAATTAAAAAATTCTGGAGACCCCTCTAGGGCCATATTAAAACTATATCACTGATTTTAAAAACTATGTATTTAATTTTCTTTCTGTTGAGACAAATTATTGTTTATTAAAATGAAAATTTCAGAAGAATCGACAATAATTTAACACACATAAAGTATGAAACTTCCTTTAATTATAACAGGGAACTGTTGACCTTTTTTTTTTTTTATTATTATTTGAATTTTCATCTTCTTCTTTTCTACTTTTTATTTCTTTTTGCAAATCAGCTGAACACTTTTTCCACTATCATTTTCTGGGGTGGGCCGTAATTCTCGCTGAAATTGTAGTTTTTTTTAATGTAGTGTAGGACCTTCAAACACTTGTCTTTTTCTTCTACCCGCGACCCCCAGGTTGAAAAACACTGCTCTAAGGAATCAGATTAAATATAGATGGATTAAAAAATCTTAGGAATTATTTGAGAGGAGGTCATTCAGGCATGGACCTTTCCTTCTCCATCTGGTTGCCCATTGAGGGTCTGGCCAAAGCCTTAATGAGCTGCTAAAAAGCTCCCTAAAAGTGCCCAAAGAATGAAGAGAGTTTTAAAAAATCCAATAAAATAATTATATACTGAAGCCAGATTTACTTGAATTTCATTTAGTGTAATTAAATATACAAATGTAATGTAATTTGGGCTAAGGATAGTTAATTATTTGCATATGTTTAGAATCAGTTTTATTTTCATACAACTGGCACATTTGTAAACACAATGGTTTTCTTCTGTCATTTTGTTTCCATTGGAGATTTATAGTTTCATTTCATCTGGATAATTTTTTTAAAAATTTTTCTAATTCTTATACCATAAAATTTCTTCACAACAAATTTTGTAATAAAAATAACCAGTGAGTAGAAATTTTCAATTGTGCATGGATTTGTTTTCCACAAGAACTTTTGAATCTCTTAAATCCCACTTGTCTTCAAACTCTTCCATTCATCAATCTGTTACACGACAATGTTTTTAAGCCAAACTTGCATTTTGCACAGTATGCTATATGACATGTAATTGTTCTTTTTTCAAATTAAAAAAAAAAAAATAGGATTTGACAGAATTTAATGCTTTTGAAATGGATTATAAATGTACAATTTAAATATTTTCTTTTATGTTATTCATTTGAAGAACATAGCTAAAGGAATTTTAATGTAAATTAAGTTTTTTCAGCTTTTTAAAATTTATAATTTAACTTTGAAAACTTCTCTTATCCTCAGAATTAAAGTAATAAACAAATTATCCCATTTCTGCACTCAAGCTTGCAGTTGAGTTTGAATTAATGTCTTATTAAAGTATGATTCAATTACAATATTTTCATCATATCTCCTATTAATTTTCAGATATAGAAATATAATTTATATATACTTGAATTGAAAACTTAAAATAATTATAGAAACACATAACATTCAATTTATTAATGTTAATATTTACTTATATAACGATAAATATACTACGAATAAAACACACCTTAATAATCCAGCAAATAAAAATTAATAAAATAAAGACATTTTCTACCGTTTCTTAATGATCTTCTTCAGTTAACATCCAATAGAAAATAAAATTGAACACAAAAAGGAACGTAAATACGAAATTAAAAATATAAATAACGGAAAAGTAGCTGCAGTGGATAAAATAAATGAAAAAATATAAATTTAGCCGGAAAATGTCCCTTAATAAAAATAAAATAAAGACATTAATTCTTGTAAAAAGATCACCATGCGGTAGGTAAAGAGTCCTCATCCCTATGATTGATGCAACCAGTTTTCTTGTGTGCCTTAAAGATCTCCAATTTCTCTAGATATTTTATTGTGTGTAAATTTGTTGTAGGTTTAATTATTTCCGCCCGATCCCAATGGACTTGAATGTCCTGTTGTGTTGCGTAAGTCGATAGCATGGTGTTATCAAGGTTCTTATTAATCATATATTTATGCTCTTGATACATTGCTGCCTAACCTACACCTAACCTACAGCAATTTTTGGATATGATCAATAATAACCCTTACTGTTTGTTACTACAAGTGGACCAGGAGAGTGAAAGTATTGTAAATTTTTTGGACATTTCCATCACTTGCAGACAGAGATCTGGACCAGCATATACAGAAAACCATGCTTTCAACCCACTTTAATTCTGCATAATTAGATTGATCCACATCACATCAAATTAGTGGCCTTCAGATCTTGGATAAAAAGAGCTTATATACATTGTACAAGAATAAAAAACACGGTAGCGGAGCATAACTATATTTTAAGGATTGCAGAACAACAGGGATACTGAAAGGAAATCATAGAGAAATTTATCGCAACCTTCCAAACAACTAAACATTGGCATCCTACAGTAGACCGTAGACAAAGGATTGTTTAAATTATGTCTCGTTTTTGAGACAAATACACAAAGGAAAGGCCAGAGCTAATAATTTCCGAGTGATATATCGATGCAATCCTACAGTTTTCAAGATATTAAGAAACGATAAGAGGCGATATGACTGGAAATTGGCATCAGGGATCTATTCTATACCATTACACGATTGGTGTTTTGATTCAGATCTTGTCAATGTGGGCGCAATGATGTGCAACTTGCAGCAACGTATCAAAGAGCATAAATATATGATTGATAAGAACCTTGATAACACCACGCTATCGACTTACGCAACACAACAGGACATTCAAGTCCATTGGGATTGGGCGGAAATAATTAAACCTACAACAAATTTACACACAATAAAATATCTAGAGAAATTGGAGATCTTTAAGGCACACAAGAAAACTGGTTGCATCAATCATAGGGATGAGGACTCTTTACCTACCGCATGGTGATCCTTTTACAAGAATTAATGTCTTTATTTATTTATTTTATTTTTGTTAAGGGACATTATTTTTTGTTTATTTTATCCACTGCAGCTACTTTTCCGTTATTTATATTTTTAATTTCGTATTTACATTCTTTTTTGTGTTCAATTTTATTTTCTATTGGATGTTAACTGAAGATGATCATTAAGAAATGGTAGCAAACATCTTTATTTTATTAATTTTTATTTGCTGGATTATTAAAAATGTGTTTTATTCTTAATATTTACTGTTTATAGTAATGTAACTAATAAGATTATTGTACTTTCAAAGGCTGAAGACATGGTGAAATTTTTTTGCAAGTTTATAAAAGAATATAATCTTGGAAAATTGGCTAATGCTCATTTAGCATGGGCAGATAAAGAGTATGATGGAGTGATGAGCAAAAAGTGTATAAATATAGCCAAAAAATATTCCAAATGTTTGGATTTTGCCAAAACTGGCGTTAATGAAACACTGAGTCATGACGAGTATGTAAGTGAGTATCCTGATTTTTTTGATAAGAAAATTGAAAAAGATTCGTATCGATCTACAAAAATTCTTGGTCAGCTTTATCGTTGCAGCAAAATTGTGCAGTTGGGTTTTCAGGAATTTGTTGAATCAGAGTATGACACTCCCAATTACAAACACTATAGGTTGGACGATGATTTGCTGTATGACAGCAGAGAAATATATATAAGGTCAGCAAAAAAAGCCTACCGAAAATATAAAAGAAAGGTAGAGACTATGTTAACTCAGTATGGTATCGACACAGAAGCTGAACTGTTATCTGGATATATTTGCAATATGCATAAGTATGTGACTGAAAATCAAGAATTGAATGATTTACAGCTTATTGAAGTCAGAGTGAAAATGCTAGTTAAAGAAATGCGGAAGGATTTTGTTAGTGAATTTGTTAATGATGAAGAATATGATGAGAAAACTATATTGGAAAATCTTTATGGATCAGAACATAAGGAAAAGGTGTTTCAGAAAGCATCTGCTTGGTACCAGGTAACTTACGATGAAACACAAAGAGAAGAAACAAACATTAAGAAAAGGAGATACTATCTTGGATTACCATGGACCATAACTGATGTTTTAAATACTATGAAAAGAAATAGAAATGTAAATAAAAGCTGCATTTCTAGAAGAAAACAATTTGAAAATCAAATAGAGAAATCTCTCAAGAATAATTTTCCAAATGCATTTGAAAAACCAATTGAAAGTAAGTTCGATGTAAGCAAAATTATATTTATGATAATGCATAACTGGATAAATAATGAAATTTTAAAATCAAATGAATTATCTGAAGTGCCAGAAGCTTTACTGAGTGACTTACTTCAATATGTATTTCAGGAAACGTCAGATAGAATTGTAGACAGTGATGGAAAAATATCAATCACACAGACACTGATGACTTGTTTAGAAAGATTGGCATGTATGATGCTGGAAAAGAATTCATTAAATACAACAGAATATGTAGTGCCATATATTTTGAATAACCAGTTTTTGGGACAGTTATCTTTCAAGATCCTTTTGAATCTCGTATGCTCACATAACACTGAATTCTTTCAATCCATTAATGCACACTTGAAAATCGAAGAGCAAGTTGAAGAGGCAACCTTTCGATTACAATTGCATGATGATGATCTCTCAAGAAGGTTTTGCTGCCATCAAAATGAAGTCATAGAGATTTTAAAACAGTGGACAAATCTCAAAGAGATCAAATATCGTCTGGTTCAAGTAAATGATAGTAAGTGGATGTCCTTGATAACTGTGAAAGGTAATAAATATGCTGTCAATCACTTTCAAGATTTGATTATTGACAAAAGTTTTAAAGATAGTATTATTGACAGTATACAAGATGATTGAATTTTTTGTAAAAGACCCTGCACAATCCTTATGAGTTTAAGCACATTAAGAGATTTTTTATAAAAGTTTATGGTTTACTCAGAATTTTTTGTGTTGAGAGGGGTAGTTTACTGTTAAAGTACAAGGTTTCCAAAAAGTAATGTCAGTGAGTCGATTAGAAGACATTTATTGATCCGATCAGTACAATACATTAAAAGGTTTCAAAATAGACTCCTCCTGCGTGAATACATCACTTCCAGCGAGATTTTCAGGCATCAAAGGCATCTCGGTAGGCCTTTTCCAAAATGCCCTTTAGAGTCTTGGTACAAGCCTCTTTGACTTTGTCAACTGTCCTGAAATGATTTCCTTTCATTGGAGTTTTCAAGCGCAGGAACAAGAAGTTGAGGGAACCACATCAGGATTGTAGGGCGGCTGGGGAACCATTGGCACCTTTGAATTAGCGGGGAAGCAGGTCATGAGGAAGGCGATGTGGGCCAATGCATTGTCATGAAGTTTTCAATCATATGTGATGTTCGGCTGGACGCGATGAACCCTTCGTTTGAGTCTCTTGAGCACTTTCACATAGAATTTGGCATTGACAGTTACACCATGTGGTACAAAATCATGGTGGACGAGCCCCTGGTTGTGTGTTAAGTCTCAGGGCCTACTGATACGCTCATGCAGGTACAGTAGGGGTGTTGGAGGGACCTTTGGGACGGGACGGGATGTACTATAATTACAAATGTAGTAAATATATGAAAGTAAAGATATTATTTTAACTTTTATTATCGTATTATTAATTAAGATAATATACAGCACTTATTAAGCTTAGCTTTTTTCATTATATACTCCTCTAAATTGAAGGATTTTCCTTTGGTCGTCCACATCGCGTGTTTTAGGCATCCATTATTATAATCGGGATACTTCTTGTCATAGATACAATCAATCAATCAATCAATATCTTTATTATGTACAACAGTTTGTACATGCCCGGCTCCGCATGGCGCTACCGGGAATGAAAACCAGATACAGTAGTTGTTAACATGTTTACAATACAGGAATTACAGAGATATCAAGAATTAGGTTGGAATAGTATACAGGAGTAAATACAATGATGCTGCAGGTATAGCGATGATGATGTAGTTAAATACAAGGATGATGTAGTTAATTACAATTTGTTTACAGTAAAAGGTACATACAGAATTACAAAGTGATGGATTTTGAAGGCTATACAAGTACAGACATTATGCAATATTACAAGTGTTAATGCAAAATAAAACATAAGTGTAGAAGGAAAAAGCACATAAAATACATAAAATTGAGCACAATACAGCAAGAAAAGTAATGATACATTATAATAGAGTGTAAAATACAATTTGAGTATAGGATACAATACATAAGAGAAGTAATATGAGCCATTACATTACAACTTTGAAAACAGTAGCAGTTAGGTGGCATATGTACAATATTTACAGATGTCTGTAGCAGTGGCGAAGGTAATGAAGAGAACGAAGCCTGGTGAGAAACTACTCATGCATGGTGATGCGTGCCACGCATGAGTAGTTTCTTTGCTCAGGCAAGCACTAGGTTTCGAAAGGCTGAATAAAGATCCTTGTGTTTAAGGAGATCATGTTGCTGACACGGCCAGGAGATGTTTAATTTCTGTGCAATTAGTTCAATTTCGAGGCGTTCCCTTTCAAGGCACACGCATTTGTAAAGATAGTGGTTGGGACCATCCACCTCCCTACAGATGGCACAAAGGGGAGTACGTTTACCCGTAAAGCGATGGAGATAACTGGAAAATCTTCCGTGGCCAGTAATAAACTGAGTCAGGAGAGAATTGATATTAATCCAGGTATGGCAGTGGTGCTCGTTGATATTAGGTATGAATTGGTAGGTTAGGTTACTGTGGTTGTTGTTCCAAGAGTTTTGCCAGCGGAGGAGAAGAATATCATTATACAAAAGACGTTTGACTTTGCTATGGCTGAGCATGTTGTATATGGGATCCAACGTATTATCATTGGCAGCAGCCTTTGCCAGCTGATCCTGCTCTTTCATTTCCAGCAGTGCCTTGGTGCCCACGGACCCAGCTGATACTGTAACTGTTTGAGGAAAGACAAGTGAGATTTTTTATTGCTGTTGTGATAAGGTGAAGCTGTCTGCTGTTGATGAGAGCAATCGCAGACTGGCAATCTGTGAAAATGGCTATCTGTTGGTTATCGAGATGCTGTTCAGACCAGTCAATTGCCATATGAATGGCTTTGAGCTCAGCCTGAAAGACTCTGCATAAATTGTGGAGCCTGTAAATCTGGTGGTGAATCTCATACTGTCCTTGATGTACAACGAAGGTACATCCAATTTTCCCATTAGCCCTGAGCCATCCGTGTAGATCTCCACGTCAGGGTTGATAGGCGTGTCTGTGCTGATGTAATTGCAGATATAAGGGGGAGTAAGATCAGTGAGCAGGTTTATTTTCTCATAATTATCAGCAGGAATATTACAAGTAGTAGTGCAGATGTCATGACCAGTTTTCAGCTGCCAAAGCTCATATCTGGCTTGAATAACGTCGGTAATGGGCGGTTTTTGGTAAGGATCTGCAGACTCCCATTGGGCGTGGTGCGGTAGGCCCCAGAGATGAGGATCAATGCTTTGCGCTGGGATGAGATAAGCTTACTACGTGGATGTACCTTTCTGGCAGCCCAGCTCCAGCTACCACTTGCATATGTGATGATGGGAGTGAATATGTGATCATAAATGATGCTGAGAGCAGCAGAATTTAAACCCCACTTCTTACATGCAAACTGAGAGAGAGCCCAAAAAATGAGGTTGGTTTGGTTAGTTATGTACTTGATATGGTCGTCCCAGTTGAGACGGTGGTCCAGCCAGACGCCAAGATACTTAATAGTTTTCTGTACTTTAATAGACTGATTGTTCATACGGATAGTTGGGGTACGAAGGTATAAATTTGGTTGTCTTGGTTTGTTGAATACTATGCATATGGTCTTGTCAGGATTAAATTTGAGTTTATGTTTAAGGCCCCAGTTGTAGATTTGCTCAAGCGTGTCACTGCCTCTTTTCTCCAGTGCTGCACGTGAATTACCTCCAATTAAAATTAGAACATCGTCTGCATATGCAGTAATGTTGTTGTGTCCAAAATCCTCAAGTAGAAAAGGATTAAACGTGAGGTTCCACAGAAGTGGTCCACAGACCGACCCCTGTGGGCAACCACGGGTGATGTTTCTTTTTTCATATAGTGACCCATATTGTAGAAGGGGTCACTATATGAAAAAAGGTTCGTTGAGATAATCCTTAATTAGGTAATAAAGGTTGGCCGGGCAGTTAATTTGCTTCAGACAGTACAAAATGAGTGGCCACCAGGCAGTGTCAAAAGCCTTGGAAATGTCAAGGCTGGTGGCCAACACATACTTGTGCGTGTTGAGGAGTCTTTCTATGTTCCTGATGACATGGTGGATAGCGTCAGCAGATGACCATTGTTGGCGAAAACCAAACTGGGCTTTGCTGAGAATAGTGTTGGTCTCTATGTGCCAAGCCAGGTGGTCTGTCAGGAGTCGCTCCAGAACCTTACCAAACACTGGCAGCAGGGAGATTGGCCTAGCCTCGTTTGGTTTTCCAGGCTTTGGAATCGGAATTATTTGTGCGGTTTTCCACCCAATCGGGAAGATCCCATTATGTAGGCAGCTGTTGTATAGTACATGTTAATGATATGCTGTGGTATGAGCCTCCATATGGATTTGGCTATTTTGCTGGTAATTTTGTTCACTCCTGGTGCCTTATTCTCTTTCAGGTTTAAGAAGACATGATTGATCCCTTCGTGGCTGAATCTGGAGAGTGAGTAGTGTGGATAGGTGCGTTTATTTCGTTTCGTATGTGTTTGTGCCAGGGGGTGTCTTCGTTGGTGTTGTCCTCAATGCAGAAAGAGCTCATTTGCCTATTGATGATGTCGAAGAAATTATTGCCAGTAGACTCTACATCAGCATTAACCAAGGTTTGCGTTTTCCGTAGTTTGTTAGTGCACAGTTTGGTTAAGTAACCCCATGGGTTAGATGAAGCTGCGGTACAGAATTGCCGCCATGATTGAACCTTGGCGTCTTTAATTTCTTTTTTATAAGTTACTTGATGGTCAAGGTAGAGATTCCTAAGGGTGGTGCAGTTGGGCTCTGTTCTGCATTTTTGGTAATTGCTTCGTAGTCTATTATTAATTTTACGGAGCTCCGTAAGCTTTTCATTCCACCAAGGAACAGAACGATGCTTTGGGGTGGTCCTTGGGATATGAAGCTCGCATGCACTCTGAATGATAGTAATGTTATGGTCAAGCGCACTACACACATTGTCCCTGTTGTTAAGATTACAGTCTATGAAGTTGGAGTCCATGTAGTTCCGCATCCCAGTCCAGTCTGCCAGAGTCAGGTTGTAGTTGTATTTGAGAAGAGAAGGGGAGTCCGTGTTGCAGTTATTACTGGGGAGGTTAAATGAGATACATGCGTGATCACTTAAGCTACAGTCACCAAGCACCATCCACCACTCAAAATCATTGATACAGTTGAGGCTACAAGTGGCTACATCTATCCAAGTTTCACCCTGGGCAGAAGTGTATGTGGGAGGTGAGAGAGTATTGTTAAGAATCTGGAAGCTATTATGGGCAAAGAGCTCTTCGAAGACGTCTCCACGATGGTCTTGTTGTTCACCGCCCATGTAGGAGAATGTGCATTGATGTCACCAAGAAGGATTATTTTTGCATGACTAAAACTGTTGATGACTCTTTGAATATTGTTGACTGTTTGTTCCACGCTGGTTTCTCGAGGACAATAAACATTGATGAAGATATATCTATTGTTATTGTGGATAAGCTCAGTGCAGACGATATTTTTGCTGGATGAATTACTATGATGTAGGGCAGAGAGGTTAGAATTAGTCATAATGGTAATTGCCCAGGGGTACTTGTCAGTACCTCTGAGCACAGAGCAGTACGTAGGTAGGCAAGCAGTATTGTTATGTAGGCAGTACGGTTCCTGTATGAATATCAGGTCATATTTGTGGCATTTTGTGGCAAGTAGGGAGGTGGCAGCAATGCCTCTTCCCAGATTTATCTGCAGACAACTGATGCTTTTATTTTCACTAAGATCCATAATCGGTATGGTCGATGATGATATTCTTGACACGTTGATATACAGGGCAGGAACCATCATGAGAATTATGTGGAGTTGAATTTGCTTTTTCATTGTGACAATTATGTGGGGCTGCTGTTCCGATTTGGGCATTCTTTGTAACTGTGGTCACCTGCACAGTGGCTGCAGGTGGAGATATCTTGTGTGCAACTTTCAGTTGTGTGCCCGAATTTGCAACACCGGTAGCATTGAACTACGGGAACAAAGTCGGCCACTCTTCACCAAGACCACTCTATGTTTAATTTTCCGATGGCCAGAAGCTGTCATCTCAGTAGAGGAGTAACCTCTATGACCCAGTTGCAATATTGGCCTTCACGTTTCCCTACATTGAATTTAATTTTCAAATATTCGTTGAGTTCCTCTTTACTGTAATTTTCATTTAATGTGCTATCTTGCTCATATAACATTTTGGTCAGGTTCTCACGAGTTATTTGTTTAGACACTGAATAAACAATCATATGCAGATTCCTCTTTTTTGGATGCCTTGTTTGTAGTTCTGGAATATTATCCTGAATGGTTTTTTTTCTAACTTTTCAATGTCTTGCTTATTGTTTAGGTCGATAGTCACCCCACCAGAGCTAATGTGCCGTATGCGCTCGACCCCTATTCCCAGCTTAATGGTTTGATTTTTTCTTGAATAAATTTGCGTGTATTATTGCTGTTCTTTTCATCATATTTTTGGTACACCAGAAGAACGTCTTTACTCTGTCTGGTGGTTTTATTTGTGTGCGGAGGGTTAACAGCAATGCCGGATTTTAAAATGGTACTGTAGGAAGGGATGGTTGTAGCCTCCTGCCAATCAATTTTCAATTTGATATTTCCTTTATTATTACAATCATTTTTTATGGTTTTTCTATCCAGCCCGAAATCTACGAGATATTTATTCCAGTGAGTTACCACAGGCAGAAACATATCTATTATATAGGTATGATGATTTTTTTTTCAAATGGACATCTTACTAATGACAAATATAGAAGTACTGCTTTTAAAAGATTCAAACCCAATTTACGTCTCAAAACGAAGCATACCCCAATCTGTTGACATGTAAAATCAAGAAGAAACGTACGGGATTTGGGTGTGATACAAAGTATTTTGATTTGGATTGGTTTATTTGTATAAGGCAACGCGACATAGGAGGAATTTAATGGAAAACTCCGCGATTTAGGTGTTATAAACGTGAAGTAAACCGTGAAAACACCAAGTAGACAGCCTGTTGACGAGGCGTAAATCCACAACCAACTACCAGTGTTTGCTGGTATTATCCATCCTGTCACTGCCAAATTATTCTGGAATAATGAAGAATCAAAAACACCTGATCTGCCGAGAATGGGACAAGATAATATCAAACTTTGTCACTAAATATTTTCTCTGAAAATAATCATTGCCACAAATGAACGACCAATGCTACAATTAAATACAACAATAATTTGGCTCGAAGCAAAGTAGAATTAAAGGAGTAAAAACGAACTCTTGTTTATTGTTTTGATTCATTAAATTTAGCTACTGTATCCATACTTATGGAGAGAGGACAATTTATCGTCCTAGTTTAAGAATTTGTTGATATTATAGAGACAAGCTAATTAAATATATATGCAAAGTATATATTTAACTAATCACATCTATCAAAAGGATTGTAAACAGATATCAAAGTTATTTCAGTATAATAAATTTTAGATAAAAACTGACGTGGTTGGGATTTTCTAAGCCAATATAAGAAATACTTGAAAACATTTTAAAGCTTATTTCTTTTTAGCAATCATTCATTTAAATTTCATAATCACCGAAACCAGCAGAAATTATTATAAACCGAACCTCGTTATAGCGTCATTCTTAATATGCCACCCTCGGCCGTTTGTCCAAGGCTGTTAAAGACTTTAGTGTACTGCTTTGGTATCCATGATTGAATATGGGCGAAGAAAAATCCCCAAAAAGTTTTGGAAGTGATCTATCCTGGATATGTCTGGCTCATTCCTCACCACTCATTGTCCCAGTATGGGCCTGGTCGAACCCACGATGTGTGTGGAAAGAAGACTCAGTATTTATATGGCAAATATAGTCCAAAGAATCGCTAATAAATACTTATGAACACGTCTTTTTCAGGTGTTACAGGTCTCTTCTTATACGCGAATCGCTAAATATATGATTTTGAACCCTGTACATCATTACGTAACTTAAATACTCGTCCTAGTATGTAAATCTCTACTACAAATAATGTTAATTGTTCGAGAACCCTGATTCAGTGCCACATACAATTTAGTGACCGTTTCAGAGGCGAACAAATGTTGGCTCTAAATCAAGTTTGTGTTTTATATCAGTTATTGTTAATAAATGTAATAACCGCCATTTAAAAAGTTACTTTTAAGTTACATACATCGTACATTTTTATAAATTTATAAGAAAATTACAATACTTGCTTCTTAATTGGTCACTCATTGGTCAAATTCAACCACTCAGCGTTAAGACGCTAGAATTATTATGATAATACCGAGGACTACTTATGTTCAAAAAGTTAATTGTAATTAAATTTTGTACAATTAAAATTACAATTGTTGATATTTTTTCTATATTTAATCAACTTAATGTTTAAAAAATGCTGATTATATTCAGATCAGCTGTAGTTATTTAATAAAATTCTTATCTAATGTATACATTGCTTAGTTTATAAAAATTAAACATAATTTATTATTATAGAAAAATAAGTAAATAATGTTTATGAAAATGATGACACATCATTTCCATTGTTAGTATGAGTCTATAGCAGTTTTATTACGCATGCTTATCACTTATATAATTATGCAAGATGCTTCACTTAGAAGCATCTTACGTAATGATTTCGTTATCGGTTCGATAACAAAACGAAAACCGAAACTGAAAGATTATTATAAGGATTCGACACAAAGGCTTTTCAGACATATGATTAATCGGTAAGTAGTCGCTAATTTAAATCAATTTTAATAATTTTTACTTTCTCGGCTTATAATATTTGGTTTATTTATTTATGGCAACGCGATACATGGGCTATCTACAGAGGGGAATGCCTCTCGGGAGGACTTTCTGTGGGAAACTGACTCCTATTTAGGTGTTACTAAAGTGAAGAAAACGAAGGAATTTCCATGTGGCTAGACAGATCGTTGATGAGGCGCGAACCTGCAACCAACAAAATTGCCGATGTTGAATGGTTTACTTGCCCGCTAGTTGGCCTGTTAATTTATATAATAACAGAAGGAAAGTATGGCGATTAGTCAAATGTCCACCCAACATTTTTACATTTTTAGACTCAGAGGATCTTGAAACGTCCATAAATGCAAACAATTTAGTTTATTTTTTCTGTACGTATAGATTTTAGTATATATAGGGGTACAATTTGTTCGTCCACTTTGAAGCTTAATAACTCCTGTATCTTGTATCGAAATTTTCTGAAATTTTGCAAAGGTTTTATGTATTGTGGATTGATGCTATGAAATTTTGGTGATTAAAATTCGGGAGGTGATAGATGGGGGTTCTTATTTGTATCTCGAGAAGCGTCGAACTTAATGAAGGTTTTACTTGTTAGCATTTACAATTATTTTAAAAATAAAACTTATTTTTACCCTCGAAACGAAACTTTTCGCTAGTTTTCAACAATGGCGCCACTCACAACTTTAACTTTGTTTCCAGGAAAGTTACGCAACTCATTGTTAGATTTTAAAGTATAATATATGTTACATTAACCATACGATTAATATATATATATATGCATATTGATATTAATTATGAAGTTTGGTATGAAATCAAAGAATATTGGGGTTGTGTGTTAAGAAATGGTAAATTATATGAAATTAGAAACAAATAAATGAAAAAATAAAATGAGAAACAAAGATTTACAATAGCAAATGTCTAGCACGTAGTCGAAATTTTAAAATATAAGAAGTTTCTAATGATTCGAATGAATAACTATATTATTAATACAGTTATTATATATTTAATTACATGACTGACATAAATAATTAGATAAATTATCGCTGATATAGCTGTAGTATTATCATGAGTCACTTTAGATAAGTAACGAAGTATAAATTATGATAAAAAGTAATTTTGCTTATCTGGGTGACCTCTGAGGTAGGACGATGTTGTACCTCATTTTTTTTTTAGTCGGCAAACAGACCGATAAGCCACTTGTGTAATACCCTATTCACACTGTATATTTTAAGCCAGCTTAAATGACTAAGCTAGCTTAAGGAATGAAATATGAACGGAACTGACTTAACGTTAAACCGGTTTAACTACCAACAGCTGGCTCAGCTTAAATCTCTTTCTCAAAGAAGCTTAAGTCGCTTCAAGCTTTCCACGTGGTCCGCCACAAGTTCAAAAATAATGGCGGAAGCAGATGGAAAAACATTCGAGGGTGAGAAAAAACGTTCAGAAAATTGGTCGGAGGAGAAGATTTCAGTTTTAATTGAAATATGGCGGGAAAAGATAGATGATTTACGTCGAGCGAAACGAAATAAAAGTGTATATGAGGCAATGGCGGCAGAAATTCGTCTTCGGAGGCCAACCTCCAGAGCTAGAACGTGGTCGGAAGTAAGGACGAAAATTAAAAATTTAACTGCCAAATACAGGTAAGTTAAAATTGTGGAAATACGTGATCGTTAAATTAATTATCGTTTAATATTTAAATAAAGAATTCTTTAAACAATTATATTTCGAACGTTGATAGTAAATGACGAAAATTATATTTCTTGTTACTCGTACGATAATCGTAAATGATGAAAACATCAAATTAATAACTATTATTAAAATTAAAAAAAATAATTCTTCCTATTTGAAACATTGAAATTTTCTTTTTATTTTAACTAGAGAAGAAGTAACGAAGATTGGGCATTCGAGAGGCAGCCCATCTACCTGGCAATATTTCCAGGCAGTTAATAGCATTATAGGACATCAGCCAGCCCAGAATATAGCATTAATCGAAGAGAGTTGTAGCAATGTGTTACCATCACTCAAATTGGATACAGGTAAACTATCATTAGATGTATCCTATTTGTCTATATCAAGATCTATTACTTAACCATCAAAAATATTTGTTATAATAACTCAAGTTCTCATAATACTTGGTCACTTTTAAATATAACACAACATTCTGGAATTTATTATTAAAATTGTACATCTGTGCCTTTATTACCATTTGGCATCTATAACTGCAAGAACTATAGAATGCCGGTTAAATTCAAGTTGTCAGAATACATTTGTCTAAATAGACATTGTAAAATATTTAAGCATGTTCACAAACTCCATTTTACATATATTTTTGTTTAATTAAGCATTTAAGTTCTGGTGATTTTTCTTGTGGTTGTTACTAAACAGGTAATCATCATTTACTCTAATAAATTAATGTTTTTATATGATTTACATCTTTTATTGTGAGTATTTAAATAAAATAAGTGTATATTTTTAAATAATTGTGCTTGTATCTTTTACAGAACGATGAAAATTCGAATGAATTGATAGATGTACCAGTACCAGAACGACTTGAACCCGAAATAAGGGTGACAAGGTCATCAAAGAAAAAGAAACGGCCACTGGAACGGCAAATAAATGAATTATTAAGTGAAATTAAAAGGAGCAATGCCATTTCTGAGGAATTGGAAAGGAAATCTATAAAAATTGCAGAGGAAGGACTGCAACTAGAGAGAGAGAGTATAGAATTGCAAAAGGAGTTGTTATCTATAATAAAAATGTCTAATTAAAATTTGAATGTTTATGATTTGAAATAAAAATCATTTTTATTGTATATGATTGTTTATTTTCCTCAATTGAAAATACATATTTGATGATTGCAGGAGGACTGCAGTTATAAAGTTTATTTTCCTGACTTTATAAATGAATAAAACTACAAACACTAGACAAAATTTCAGTCAAAGTAATTTATTTCAGCTTAATGTTTGAGTATATAAATTTTATAACAGTCTCCTGATTTTCAAGAGCTTGTTTAAAAAGAATACAAGGAGTTTCATTTAACACTCAAGTTATGAGGACTGCTCACATAAAAATTATAAAATTTATATTAATGATTTTAGAACAAACAGATAGAACTTTATATATTATTTAATATTAGCAATGTCAAAATTTAAAGTACAACTATATTCTACTGAACTTTGAGTATTGTCCTGTAACAAATCTTGTTTTGTGAACTTAATTTAAAATCCTTATAATCTTAATCTTCATCCCTAAAACTTCTTGCAATAGCATTTCTAATTGAAATAGCTTTGGTGTTGTTTATCCCTATAACACAAATTCTTTCTGATGAACTATCAGACTGATTTATTTCATTAAGCCATGTTTTCTCTATTGGATCATCCCTCTTCTCACACAAATTATGCAATATACAACAAGTTTTAATTATTTGTTTTGATATATCAATCCTATTATCCATTCGTTTAGAAAGTCTTCGAAATCTTGCTTTTAATCTTCCAAAGGCATTTTCCACTACTCGTCGAGCTCTAGATAATCTAAAATTGAATATTTTTTCTATTTCATCCTCTGTTTTACTTGGAAATGGCTTCATTAAAGTTGGCTGTAAAGGAAAAGCAGAGTCACCAATAATTAAAGGTGGCACAACTTCTCCACCAATTCTTTCCCCTAATTCTAAGGAGTTTATATTTTGTAGGCATGTTAAAAGAGAGTGAGAATTTTTTAAAATGTGTGCATCATTATTCCTTCCAGGAGATCCTACATTTATATATGTAAACATATATTTGGCATCTGCAACAGCAAGGAGGACCATAGAATACCATCCTTTATAGTTGTAATAGTCAATGCAGTCTTGTTTTGGTGGTGAAATAGGAATGTGTGTTCCATCAATTGATCCAAAGCATTGTGGAAAATTCCAAATCTCGTAAAAATCACGAATTTTTAAGTCAATTTCATTTCTAGTCTGTGGAAACTGGATAGCGGTAGACATTAAATTATTTATAACTGCATTGCAGAAGTCTATAACAATTTTACAAACGGTGGATTTTCCTACACCAAACAAATGTGAAATAGTCCTATATTCAGACGACGATGCCAATGTATATAGAGCAATTGCTACTCTTTTATCTGTAGAAATACATCGTCTCAAGTGAGTATTATTTCTTTTCATTTCAGGTAATGCAGCACATAAGAAATTAAACGTTTCTCTAGAAACTCTAAAGTTTTCACGCCAACTTACTTCATCCATTGCAGGAACACACTCTTCCCACCATTTCTGATTTCTTGGGATCTTCCAAATTCGATCACTAGGAAGCGTAGAACAAATCATGGCTACAACACATGCCTTTTCTTTTGCTCGTTGTCGCCATTTCAATGCTTTTGTTCGTGTCAAACGATACCTTTCTCTGTTAGCGTGTATACGCTGCTTCAATACAAGAAGTTTAAATAATAATAATACAACTTTCTGTCGAGAATCCATTCTTATCACAGCTGTCACTAAAGTGATAACATTGAAAGAATCGTGCTGCCAACGACAACGATAATGACATCACTGATAATAAATGTTAATAATTCCTAACTAACGTCTTATGTATTTTAAATAAGTTATTTCTATTTTAAATTACAAAATATAAATTAATTTATGATGATTTATCAAAAATAAACAAAAGTTTGATTTTATTTAAAATGTAATATTGAGTGCACCCGCTTGAGGGCTAAGCGAATAATTCGCTTTAATTACCCAGTGTGAACAAGTAGTTAAACTTGTTTTCGGCAATGCGGCTTAACTTAATTCTGCTTAAATCTTAATCCCGCTTAAAATATACAGTGTGAATAGGGTATTATATAACAACTGGTAAAGCAGTAATTAAATCTGATACTTTCCATTAACCATAAAAGATTTACATAATTATACCTTCTCCTTCCACAGCAAATACATTTATAAGAAAACATTTGCAAATTAAAGAAAATTGCAATGTTAATGTATTCAAAAAAATAATTTAATACACTTATATTTGTTAACAAGTAGTAATTATTTTAAAAAATATAAAAGGAAAATGTTGATATGAGTAACACTATTATTTATAATTACACAAGGTATATCTATAGAATTTATATAAATTTAAAAATGTAAAACATATATTAAGTTTATGATTGATTTGTGTTTGTATTATATTATTATATTTGTATTAATTTTATAGAGAAAAATTGCAAGTAACCAAGTAACTCAATAGAATAATTTCATCAAGCTATATCACATTTATATATATATGTTTCAAAAAGTCAGAAGAGGTTTATGCTATATATGTAGCATAAACCTCTTCTGTATATTTATTTAATATGTTGATACTACATTCTAAATTTTGAACTTTAAAGAAAATTAATAATGTTTTATCATAAACATATTTGCTATGAAGGAGGAATGCTAATTACATAAATCTTTCTTTAGTTTATGGAAATTATCAGACTTAATTATTTTAATAATTTGATTATAAGTAATAAATTTGATTTAAATGAATAAAACACAAAGATTCACAAAGAGCAAAGATAGATAGTTGGTAAATTAGAATACGATCAAGTAATCTGTCGATAGATGTGGATGTATTTCTTAATAAAATTGTTGTTTAGAATGAACTTTAAAATCATTATTTATTGGTTCTTGTTTATTTTTATTGAGAAAAACATTACGTAAACACAGTTAAGAATTTAAAATTTCATATTAAACAATACAATCTGTTATATAACCAATATACAATTGTAAACATTCAAGTTGCTATGTAATTATCATCATTTGATTAGATAAATTTCAATTTGAGATAACATCAAAAACACTTATTCATGTAAATATTCCTGCAGGAAAAAATAAAATTTTCATTCTGAAGTTAAAACACACATTTTGAACTTGTAATGTGTGTAAAATTATTTATAAAAACAAGCTGTACACAAATACAACATTCATTTCTAAAGACATTATTAAAATAAATTCAAACTGCAAAATATTTTGTATAAAAAATAATCTATACTGCATTAAAAATTTATTTTATGTAAAACAAAACTTCAAAATGGTATAAAATTCACATTTCTTTGTTTAAACTTTCAATATAATAATGTCACTTTTACTTCTATATATTCTCCTGTAAATATTGCATAATGTCAACTAGTTTATTTGACGATAAGCAAAGCTATCTACAACAACTGATTACAATAGTTTAGTTATAATTTCAAATAGTATTTTTCAATAAAATTATTCCAATTTTATTCTATTCACATATTCTGAATTGATTTTAAAGAGACCTTTCACATAAACAAATTTCAAGCTTTAAAAATTAAAATTACCTGTTGAAATCTTCGAAGTTTCTCTGGCAATATTACTTAATTTGTTCTTATTAAATCTAGTAATAAAATAACTTTCAGTTTCTGGAGGTGACGAGCCATATGCTTCAAAATTGTCCGACGTATTCAGTCGCTCAAAATTTGTTTTCATCCAGCTTGATATTCCTGTTTTATAAAGAAATGATTTGGATTCTACATCCATATTTCCTGAATCCATGATTACTTTTCCTGCAATGAAAATAATATATAGTTTACTTTATACATGTAAAACTTTAAACACAGAATCTTTATTATATGCTAATTAAATGACTATAGATGTATTTCTGTGTGATTAACCAAATAATGGTTGTTTAGCTACGTTTTACATCATCAGTTCAGTTTACAGAAAACATAAAAACAATTTATTTATCCATTAGTAGACATCATCATTAAGAGACTATTAGTTTCTTTAACCAAGACACAAACAACTCAATGAGTTGTAACTATTAAGATAACAAGGTTGAATGACAAAAAGACAAAAACTAAATCTTCTATTATAGACTGGAAATTTTATAAATTATATATAAAAATCATTTTTTCATACATTTCCAGCACTTCTTTATAGTTCTAACAAATGTTTTCGACTTGATTTACGGGCCATTCTAATTAGTAGTAGTTATGCTGTGTTCGAAAACGGAACAATTCAAAATTCCTTTAGGTTATTTAAATTTCATATGTTGTAACTTGAAATTTATAAATTTCAATAAAATTATTGAAATTTATAATTGAAAAAACTTGAATTGTTCCATTTTCGAACACAGCATAATTGCTTCTAACCTAAAGAAGGCCAATAAATCAAGCCAAAAACGTTTGTTAGAACTATAGAGAAGTGCTGGAAATGTATGAAAGGTATGTTTTTTATATATAAAATACAAAAACAGTACATTTTAAAGATTACCCTGAAGAACTCAGTTTCTATTGTGCTATTTTAGATGCAGTTTTTTTGTGTTTTTGTGGGAAATAGAACATATTTTTTGACCCATTAGTCTCATAAGATGAGGGAACTAATTCTTCCACCCGGTGAAAGTGACTGGTAAGATCGGCTATAATCTAATAATCTTAATCTTTGCTATTGTTATATTTTGCCTGATCAATGCCAGGTTCATCTGCTAGTGTTTAAATAAATTTAACATAATTAAATAGAATATGGATGTAGAATGTTATTTGACAGACCTATTTTGTAAATACATACCCAATATTGATTTGTTTTGCTTTGTTAAAATATGGCAATCTACCTAGTCTCTAATCAATATTTATCAGCATGATATTAAAGTATTAATAAATGCAAACATTCTTTACTTTGCTTTGATATTAATAGGATTGTTGTTTATGCTTCTTTTAATTTTGTCATTTAACTTATTTTTCACTTAAGGCATTAGGCTAATATCAACATCCAGGAGAAGGAAACAGCATTAGGCTCCGTCTGGTCAGTCCCTCTGGTATGGGGTACAAAGTGTAGGAAGAATATGATTTTGATTCTGAACTTGCAATTTAAATTCATGACTCCAGATTACTTACATAAAATAAGTATAGAAAATTGATCAAATTAACACAAAAATTCAAGTTCTAAAATAAAATACATACCTAAAAATAAATCCCTAACTTATAATAATTACAAAAACAGAAGAACTACAATTTTGCACTAGTATTTGGAGCTAAAGAATCATGTAAAAGATAAAATAGCTTTGAGTTTCAGGGAAGAGAATGGAAGAGAGAAGAGAGATTTGATCTTTAATATAGAGCCAAAAAAGAGTGGGAATGACCAAAAGAAAGCCTGTAATTTTAATAATTATAATTTATAAATCTTGTTAATTAATAATTTATCCAGCATATAATAGAAATAACAAATACAAGCAATTTAAACCACTGTACTAGGAGAAAATAACAATTAAAAACCAAGTAATATTTATAGTTGATGATAAGACCTAATAAATGCATATCATCAGACACACATTGAGGTTGACAGTGCAAAAACAACTAAAAAGATCAATTTACCTGTAGAGAGTGACAATAAGCAAACTCTGATTACAATTAAGCAAAATTTTAAAAACATTAATGACTAATGACAATTCTGTGATTAAAATAGGTAGATTCTATTATATTTTATAATTATATCACAAACATATATCATTTTGTATTAACATTAAATAGATAAAATATAAAAATGGTTAATTGCAATTTTATTCTAAAAAAAAAAAAAAACATAAATACAAACATTTTGAATGAAACTGCAAGTTATAAGCATTTTTTAATTACAGAATGCTAGTAATTAAATTATCATTGAGTGGTGAAGATATTTTAGATTTTAGGCATTTCAACTAAAACTATAATTTTAAACTTAAGCTTCTAGAAATATTGAAAATATCTGATTATAGTATAACCCTAATTTACAAGTGTACATCATTCTTGAAAATTCTTCCATAAATCAAATCACATAGATGAATTGCACTTTATTATTATTTCTTATGGTTAAAATTTGTATCTTGTTTCAGCATAATCAAGTCATTCTATCCACATTTCTCAAATAACATTATTAAGATATCTTAAAACATCTATTTACTTATCAATAATAATTCTAAACAAAATGAGCAATTATTTATTTTGACATTAAAAATTGCAGCATGGTACTGTGACAATCATATTTTTAATTTGTTTAATTTAAAATATATGCTCTCCACCTCAAATTAGTAGTGACTTGCCCCTGTACATCATACTTTTCCTTTAACAATAGAGTTGTGCCAGTTGGTCTATATAACACCTTTCATGAGAAAATTTTTTAATTGAAATGACGCGACTTCTGGTTTGCATAAGAAGTTCATATATAGTTAATTGGGGCCTCCTGCCCCAAGGTTTCCATAATTGGTCTCATCTTTTATCTGACTAACTCCATTCTTAAGATTAAGGAAAGACAGATGTACGGATGGACAACAGTGGAAATTTATAGGTCTATAATTTTTTCAAATTGCTGCCCAATGAAATTGTTATTCAGATTAGTCACCAATTCAAAAGTTACTAATTCAAAATGAAAAAACAAATAACATACACAAGGTCTGATCAAAAAGTATCCAACCAAGATTATGTCATCATTTGACCTTGGACCCTACTGCATATGAGAATTTTGGCAAGTCATTCTACTCTGCAGTCACTGTCAGACAGCCATGACGGTTGCATATATAGTGTTATTGTCGCATTAGTGATTTGGCAGAACAAGACAGATCCTGATTTTTTGAAGATTATAACTAGAGATTACACCTGGGTCTACAGGTATGACTCTGAGACAAAGGCACAATTATCCCAGTGGAAAATACCATGGTATCATCAGCCAAAGAAGGCACACCTATGTCTTCTCGTGAGTCATGTTATCCTAACTGTCACTATAATCTCAGGTAATGTTTTATTTTATAAACCTTTGTATGCGTATCCTAAATATTTCAATACAATCAGTAAATCTGTAACTAATCATTCTGCTGATAAATCTGTTATAATAAGACTGAAGAGAGGAATTAAGCCCAAAATGCACATCCTTTCCTATCAATAAACAAACCTTTTTCCACTAAAAGTGTTTCTGTGTGATTTGTTCTCAATGGCAACCTTATGCTAAGAAAATACATTTATGTAATCAGTTTAGAAAAATAATATATTACTGTTAATCAAGTAGTATTATTTTATTGCTACATATTTTCAATAATAATAATTATGATGATGATATAATTTTCAATGCTGTCTGATGATCGAATAAAGAAACACTAGAGATGAAAGTTGATTGGTTGAACAAACCAAAGTTTGGCAGAAGTTGAGATACTTTTGACTCCTAATATACTGATTGAAAGGTCATTGAACAGAGATGAACTGGCAGTTTATATGTCAGTGTAAACCTAGCTTAATCATGACTCTTGGTGAGAGATTTACCTGACAAGGCTCTTGTTAAACATGCAATAGGCTTAATGGACCATGCAGTGTCTTTAAATGTGTCCAAGAAATAGTTGGTGTAATGGCATTCTTTTAGCCATCTCTAGCCTCAAGTGAAGAACAGTTGGTTTTTAGCATTGTTTTTGGAAATAGTTTCTAATCTGTTTTTACTTTAAAACTTTATGTCCTTTGAGGGTCTTCAAAATTCCAGACAGGCTGATTCTGGAAAGCTAAATGTTAGAGATTTCTTCCCCACTTGTGAATTTCACTTGTTTCAGTCAGAATGACAGCAGGAAAATGGCTTGAAGATAATGCCCTGTTGAGATGTTTATCAGAATGCCACAGTGGTTCATCATTCAGCATAGTATTAAAAAAGAACGTGCTCAGCAAAATAATAATTAATAACCAAACACCTTTATCGTTGTCGAGAAGATTTAATTAAAACAAACGTTTTTGACCTATTCCATAGGTCATCATCAGATTTAAAATGGACAATTGGAAGATTTCATTCCACAAGATCAAATACAAATATTCAAATTTAAAAAAACTGACAACAGATTAAAAAGATAATATACTAGTAATGTATAAAAAATATAATTTTGTGCCAGATGGCTCAGGCACAAAGTTCGGTAGTTATATGGGATGATGCGGTCATTATCAAGCCAGTGAGATCCCTAACGTTAGCGAAGACCACTGAGAAAATTGAGATTTATAAGAGAAAATTAAAGGACACTTGTATTAATGCAAAAGACGCGGAAGGCCTTCCATTAGCCTGGAAGTATATTGTTAAAAAATCTGCCGAAAACTCATAATTTACACTTTAATTTTATTGTATTAGTTGATAATTATATTTAGTAGTATTTCTGAGTTTATTTTATTTTATTCTTTATTTTTATTATATTTTTTTATACATTACTAGTATATTATTTTTTAAATCCATTGTCAGTTTTTTGAAATTTGAATTCGATCTTGTGGACTGAAATCTTCCAATTGTCCATTTTAAACCTGACGATGGCCTATGGAATAGGTCAAAAACGTTTGTTTTAATTAAACCTTCTCAGCAACGATAAAGGTGTTTGGTTATTAATACAGCATAATAGTGTGGATGGCATCTCATTAGGGTTTCCACCTTTGGAAACCATCTTCACTAGCCGATGTGATCATTAGGGGAAGGGAGAAAGTAAATGAAAAGATAAACTTCTTTTTTTGTGCTTATCACAATTGGCATGCCTTTTAAATACTTTAATTCCATTGCATTTAACACTAAATGATGTTCTGCAAATGATGCAATGTATTGAACAAGTGTCATCATCACGAATTACCAATTTCTGAATTCATTCAGTTGAAGCAAACAAGTGCATGAATGTTTTTTTTTCAAAAGAAGAAGAAGGAGACAGATGTCTAGATTGGTTCATTTTAAAAAATCAATTTTTAAAACTGAAAACAACAGCTGAGTTAGTGCACACATGTATTTTAGAATCACAAGAATTGATTTGAAAATTTAACATACTACAGCACCTCTGCAAATCATTTCATAATTATAATGAGAAAGTCATTTTATCAATATAAGTAAACTTACGGAATTTTGAAAATAATTTATATAATATTTTTCCAATTAAAATATAATTTGGCTATATTTTAAACTGTTTTGCCAACACTTATATATTTTTTCATACTACTGGCCTTGATTTAAAATTGCTGGTCAAGCCAGTCCAATGCCATCCAGGTGGGAACCTTACATCACATACAGTTGAAAGACATTCCTTTTACATCCAAGACATAAAACAGCAAAGTAATGATGATGGTTTAATTCTGGACTGTGTGTGCAATACAGCTGTTCCTAGATGATGTATTGCTAAAATGTAACACTGACCAATGCCTGACCATGCCTGATTCATGTTCCAAAAATCAGATAACAATCAAACAGCCAGTATGATGCAGATGTGTTGCCATAATCTATAGCTTTTCATGGCTTATCACTGATTGAGCATGCAAAGAACTTTTTGATCAACAACAGCACTGGTAATACCCTGTATATGATCTGGTTTGCCTAACTAGATAGATGATGGATGACACTGTATATTCCAATTAATGATTGAAAATATAGTAGTGTATATTGTTATGTATAGTAGGCAGATTAAATATTAAGTAAATAATCCCATTTGACAACTAATGCTTATTTTTTTATCATTTATATACAGTATTTGAGAAACGTCTATCTTTTCTGTGAATATCATAATTCTGCATCTTTTCTTTCATGGTATAGTTCACTGTTAAAGAATCTATTATTAAAATAATAGACATTTTTAGCAATAAGCTTAAAATCATAAACAAACTAAAAGCCATTTTCTCTCTTAGCAATAAATAAACTATAAATCATCTTATTTATTCTCTTAAATAAATAAATTTAATAAAACTATTTTGAATGCTAGCTAATGCATCCAGAATCACTAATTCTCAATTGAATTTACACAGTCAAGTTTTCTGTTTAAACATTTGAAGAACAAGAAAAATAAAGATTCTATTTTCATAATACTAACATTACCTTTGTATAGTCCATATTACTTAATTAACAAAGAGTTAAAAAAATAAATAAAAGAAAATAAACTAGCAGTTCCAGATTTAAGCATTGTTAAGTTGGTTTTTGCAATAAATTTTAATACTAATTTCCCACATAGTTAGAAAAAAAGTGACTTATCCTTAGTTTAATTTAACTTTAATTTAAATTCCATTATAAATTGAAGCAAGAAATTAATGATGATGATTTGTTATTCCAATTTCATAAAATCTTTAATACTGTATATGTTTATTACAAAGAAGTGAATACTGTTTATCAAAATAAAATGATAATTTTCTTTTAAAAGGTCAATTTTTCAAAGAAAATATTTCCTCAAAAAATTGATGAAACTTTATGGGTTAATTCCACAGAAATAACCACCTTTTTTTTTGCCTGGACCGCATTTAATCAGAGACAAAAGCTTATCTTCGTATTCTTTATTTACTATGCATTTCGGGTGCAATATTTTTGTGTAACTTGCACCCCTCTTCAGGTTTTACATTTCTATGCATTGTAAATTTGATTATTACATTTGTTATTACAGCAAATTACAACAATTTACAGTAAATACATCATTTAGGTTTGGTAATGATGGAATGGAGGTTGACAACATGTGGGAGGAAATGTGAGGAGCTAAAGGAAAAGAAAACAAAAAGAGGAGAAAACGGTCTAAAAATGCCTTAGGGGACACAACATCAACACTGGGCAGATGTATGTCTAAACATAAAACAGGTTAGTTAACTATCGTGTAAATAAATCCAAAATTGTTGTAATTTAACGTAATAACAAATGTAATAATCAAATTTATCAATTCATAGAAATGTAAAACCTGAAGAGGGGTGCAAGTTACACAAAAATATTGCACCCAAAATGCATAGTAAATAAGTAAATAAAGAATACAAAGATAAGCTTTTGTCTCTGATTAAATGCAGTCCAGGCAAAAAAACAGCGGTTATTTCTGTGGAATTAACCCATAAAGTTTCATCAATTTTTTGAGGAAATATTTTCTTTGAAAAATTGACCTTTTAAAAGAATATAAAGAAAACTGCACAATTGATATAATACCTATCTATTACTTACAATGATAATTTTCATATCATTCAAATCAGAATGATTAATTTTAACTTTAAGAGAAATAAAAATTTTTGTAAAACAAATAAAGTGCTTGTAGGTTTAAATTCCTTTTCTTCTAGACATTTCAAATACTAGTAATCAAATTAAAAATGAATTTTAATTATGATATGTTATTTATCCCTGAAATTTAAAACCAAGCACCTAAGTTAAATACTGTATCTGATTTTTCTAGGCAAATTAATATATTATAAGTAGGTTTATTTAAGATTGATTCACATATTATTGAAAGTGTTAAAAACAAAAGTTCTTTAACACTTTCAATTGTATGTAAATCAATAGGTCATTTCTATGTATATAAACATTTCCAAAACACCCAGGAATGTTTTTATTTTTGTTCGCATGTATTTGTATTTTCAACAAACGATTAAAAGCCAGAATTAATTATATATCCTTTTAGTTTAAGTACGTGAATACTTATTGAATTTCTACTGCAATTGTTGAATTGAATAAAGATAGCATAGCACGTTGACATTCTGTACAAGGTGCATAGCATAGAAAAATGCTTTAATACCATTGGACAAGCAAACCAATGACAATCCTTTTCAATAAAACAAATTATGTCATCTGTAATAAGCTTCTTGTCTAGTCATACGTTCAATTATACTAGCTCTGTGACAGCTTTCCCTTTTTCGCTAGACTCATTACACCATCAGTCATAAAGAGGACAAACTTTAGAAAATCATATGTTTATTTATGCATTTCGGACATTAATCCAAAACTTCACCTTCACTAATGACTTCCGCAATTATCATCCAATTTGCTAAATCCAAATAGAAGTTATTTCATATTTTTTAAAGAGTTGTGCATAGAAAAACATCTTTCATTGTAGGAGTCTTACCTGGAAATTCAAAGTTCCAAACTTTATATAAATTTCTAAGTAAAAACATTATTTTTGGTATCAATTCCTTATTTACCGGTAACATCACATTTAATGTAATTTATTACTGGACTTACATTAAATTTAGACGATAAATTAATTTTTAATTAAATAAAACATAATTTAATTAAATTAAAACAATTAAGCTGGGAAGTTGATAAATTGCATTAAAAACTAAATATATACAAAAACTCATTTACCGGTTTAATATTTATGGAAGAAGGTTAAATCAGCGATGTTTATTGTATTCTAAATGCTCATTATCATCGTACACCGTCTTAAAATTGATTTAACACGAAAACAAACCATGACTTCTATCGTGACACCAAATACAGTCGATATTTTTACCATCAAGTGTTGCCAATTTTAGATAATAATTACGTAATAGTTATTTTATTTGAAAAAAAAATTGTACATTTGAATTAAATTTAAAAATATAATTATACCCTTTAAAAATGAAGTATATTATAATAACTATTAAAAAATATCTTTCATCTCATTAAGAAATTAGTCCCACATTCTAGGTAATTTTTTTTTTCTCTTTCCTTCCCGTGGGCGCTAAGAAGACCTCTTTTAGCAAGCCCACATTGGGGAGGCCGGGTGTTGAGGGACGGGGCCCGACATATCCGGACGGACCACCCCCGAAAATTTCTGAGGATATTTCGACCCGTTCGGTTTCGAACCCGGGTCCCCCAGAGCGGTAGGTTGCCACGCCTCATACAGGGTCATCGAGAGAAGGACCCTAAAGATTTTTCCCTGGCCTGGAGGAAACTTAGGGGCTTAAAATGATTCTATCCTTTATAAAATTAACGTTATTTTTACTAACAGAAAATAAAATCTTTAAGACTGCATTTTATTAAAAAAAAAAAAAAAAAATATTTTATGTACAGTAGAGCCTCGATTATCCGACCTAATTGGGGACTGGGGTTGGTCGAATAATTGAAAGGCGGATAACCAAAAGTATGAAAAAATCTATTATTGGTGTAGTATATTATTATATCCCATGTAATTAGTATATCGCTATTAACCTACTTTGCGTTGAATTTTCATCGATGTTAAGCCTAAAAAAATTTTTTAAAATAATAATCATCGCTATTGTATCGTTAAAAATTAGAAAGTTAAGCCTTGTTTAAATACTGGCTCCCCTTTCATGGTCGATCCAGTGTTGCCAGCCAAAACACGTAAAAATAATATTAAAGTAGCCAAGACATAGCCAAATATTGTAGCGCCACATCAATAGCGGACATTTGAAATTTGCCGACTAGGACGGTCGGTTAACCGAGGGGTAACGAGGGATAATCGAGGCTCTACTGTATTTCATTTGTTCAAAAAATTAAAAAATGGACACAAGCTAAATGGTAAGCTGGTATCTTTACCTCATTAACTATCTGCTCTGTTTGACGGTCGGATGGCCGAGCGGTCAAGGTGGCAGCCTACTGCTCTGGGGTTGAATCCGAACGGGTCAAAATATCCCCAGGAACTTTTGGGGGTGGTCCGACCGAATATGTCGCCTCCCGTCTCTCACTACCTGGCCGCACCATTGTGGGCCTGGCCGAACCCATAATGGGTCTGCTATAAGAGGACCTCCTTGTGTCCACAGGGCGGAAAGAGCAAATAAAAAAAAAGTACACTGGTCCTTCAGATTCCAATACGGAAGTGGTTTTTTTTATACTCTTTCCGCCCTGTGGGCACAAGGAGGTCCTCTTATAGCAGACCCATTATGGTTTTGGCCAGGCCTACAATGGGGCGACTGGGTGGTGAGGGACGGGGCCCGACATATCCGGACGGACCACCCTCCGAAAAATTCGTGGGGATTCCTTGGCCCGTCAAGACTCGATTCCGGGTTCCCCACAGCGGTAGGCTGCTACCTTGACCGCTCAGCCATCAGGCCGTCAATACGGAAGTGGTGTAAATTCAGAGTTACCAACCTTACGGGATAAAACTATTGTATCATCGCATTTCACTTAAAATTATCGTACATCCATCTCGATCCGTTACACTTAAGCCCAACATCCGTAGAAATATTAGAATAAGGTCTATTTTGCGCCATATATTATAAGGGGGTTTCCTACTTTCAGTTTTTTTTTTCCTACTGTACAAATATCGGTTTTGTTTTGGCCGATAAATCTTAGCGTTAATAAGCTGTTCTAAAAGACATAAATGGAAAATAAGGACAATAACACAAATGTTACATCTGCATAATTATTTATTCATTTCAATCATCGTTCAATCTTGATCGTTAGACGTGTACATTGTGCATTGCGCGCCTACACGTGATATAATTTACTATACGATAAATGCTCTGTGGTTGTGAATTATAATTTAAATGATAATATTAATGTCGCGGCTGCATAAAAAAATATCAATTGTATATATTCGATACAAATGATAAATCCTATCGACATTTCTTTAGTAGCTTTTTTCTCGTGGACCAAATATACAGTAAAACTCGTGTAAACTGAAATCGCATGATACCGAATATTTTTCCGATTTTCCAGATTTCCGTTTTGAACAGGTTCCTTTTATTCAGGTTTCGTTTTAGACAGGTTTTACCATACACTGTGTAATTTAGGTACAGTAGATCCCCTATAAGACGGGTTCCTATAATTACGATTCCTATAAGACGGCGAAAAAATTGTGGCGGTATCCGTAAACAACGGTAAAAAACTCCTATAATTACGTAAAACGTCATCGGGCAGCCGAACTACTTTCCGCCGTCCAGCGCCACGCTACGGACAGTTTAGGCGGGTAAACTGAGTTTAGTATCGTCTGTACATATAATTATAATATAATATATATATATATATT